ATTTTTATGTATATGTGTGCACATCTGAGTATTGTGTGTTGTTCATTTGTGTCTATAAATCATGTACATGGTACCAAAATTAGCATATAGATAAATGAGCACACATAATATTTTTTAAGTACCAAATGCTTTTCAGGTCATGTGACTTAAATTAGTTAAGATAAAAAATAAAAGAAAAGATGTCTTCAAAATTACTAATCTGCAAGTTTTTCTAGGTGATCAGCCAATCAAAAAAATAGAATCTATAAAATGTTTAAAATACAACATCCTATGTCTTTATCTTCATGGGTAACATGTTTTACAACAAATAAATTTAACATAAATGGAATTAATCTTCATAAATAAGTTTGTTTAAAATATCTGATTCATTTACAAAGTTAAATACTATAACATCAACTACTAATTTTAAATTTAAGCACTCTTGGCTTCTCAAGTTCTATAATAATATATTTGGGGAATTTATTGTATTTTTATAGATTGTTAGTAAATTAAAAGCTTAAGATGACTTTGTTTCAGGGTCTTCACTAAAAACAAGATAATTAAGGACTAAAATTCAACTTACAGGTATTGTTCTATATAAAAAACCAAAAAACAAAACAAAACCCTTTCTTGATTTAATCCTAACCTCCCACTCTGGAACACATTCATAAAAAATTAGATATAATTAAATGGATATTTTTACCCCATCAATAGGACGTAATATTTGTCCTAGGTTTTTACAAAAGGCACATTTAATTATGAAAGACAAAAATTGCTGTTAAGCCATATGTGGCAGGGATCCTGATTTTATCTACCCAGCTGTAACTAACACTCAACTTGATTTTCTGATGGCCCAAGATGATGATTAAAGAATTGCCCTAATTGGGTATGAAGGACAAATATCTTTTTACATACTCATTAATCCTTAAAGAATATATTATTTGGGCTGGGGATGTGTCTCAAGCAGTAGCAGCACGCTCGCCTGGCATGCGTGCAGCAAGGGTTTGATCCTCAGTACCACATACAAACAAAGATGTTGTGTCCGCCAAAAACTAAAAAATAAAACATTAAAATTTTTTAAAAAGAATATATTATTTAAACAAAAAAGGTGAATACACATCCACCATATATACCTCAAGAGCATTTCCTGATTTCCAATTATTAAAAAAAATTATATTACAAAGGGATACCAATCTAAAAAGTATAGTTCATAAAAACAGATACATAGAACAAAGAGGCAATATAGAAAGCCCTGAAACAAATCTACACATTTATATCCAACTGATTTGACAAAAGTTACCTAGTACACACAATGAGAAAAGAAGTTTCTTCAAAGTAATGGTGTTACATTTGCTTTTGCTCAAGAAGCTTAAACTGTTGGGATGCATTTGCTCTCCATTTCCCTGGCACAGCATTCCTTCACCCTTCAAGTCTCAGCTTAGAAACTCCCTCCTCTATGAAACCTTTCCTTAACAAATTAGGCCTTCCTTAGCCTTGGCTACCAAAGTTATTTGTACAAACCTCTTTCGTAGCAATGACCTTATTAAATTTTTACTGTTTGTCTCCTCTTTTAGACTGTGAGCTTCCTGAAGACAAGGACTTTATCTTTTCATCTTCTATGTTCCGCATGTCCAGTCCACGTTTTCCATATGGAAAACAATGAAGATTTCTCAAAAAATTAGGAATAGAAGCTAGGTGCTGGCACAGGTCTGTAATACCAGTGACCAGGTAGGCTGAAGCAAGAGGATCACAGTAGGTGCTCAATAAATGTTTGTTGACTGAAGGAAAAGAAATAAAAATTTAAAAGGCAAAGTACATGAACAGACAGTTTTACAATGAAGACATACAAATGGCTAACAGATATGAAAAAGTACTCAATATCATTAATCATAGAAAAATGCAAATCCAAACCACATTGATATATCACATGTGTTAGGATGACTACTACAAAAAGCCAAAAGGGCAATTGCAATGGTGCACAACTGTAATCCCAGCAGCTCGCTCAGGAGGCTGAGGCAGGAGGATCATGAGTTCAAAGGCAGCCTAAGCAACAGCGAGGCGCTAAGCAACTCAGTGAGACCCTGTCTCTAAACAAAATACAAAATAGGGCTGGGGATGTGGCTCAGTGGTTAAGTGCCCCTGAGTTCAATCCCCAGGTAACAAAAAAAAAAAAGTCAAAAGGTAAGCATGAGACAAATGAGACAAGGTGGAAGAAAGCGAGCCTTTAGGAATATAAACTGATATGCCGATTATGGAAAACAATGGAGATTCCTCAAAAAATTAGGAATAGAAGCTAGGTGCTGGCACAGGTCTGTAATACCAGTGACCACGTAGGCTGAAGCAAGAGGATCACAAGTTTGAGGATAGCCTCAGCAACTTGGCAAGACCCTCAACAACTTAGAAACCCTGTCTCTAAATTTAAAAAAGGGAACAGGGAATGTAGCTCAGTGGGAAGGAACCACTGGATTCAATTCTCAGCACCAAAAAAAAAAAAAATAAGAACTAAAATAGGATTCAGCAATCCCAAATCTAGGGATGTATCCAAAGGAAAGATTTATCTCTACCTCTAAGATAGAGCTGCACTTCTGTGTTCATTACAACATTATTTACGATAGGGTATATATTGAAATAATCTAAGTGTTTGTAGATGGAAAGATGGATGGATGAATGGATGAAGAAAATATAGTGGGTTATGTATATAAATATATGGGCATATATATATATATATATATATATATATATATATATATATAAACTTATTCAGCCTTAAACAAAGAAATTCCGCCATTTGTGAAAACATAGGATTCTGTGCTAAGTGAAATGGGCCATTCACAGAAAGACAAATATTACAGGATCTCACTTACATGTAGAATCTCTAAGAAAGGTAAACTCAAGCTGGGCACAGTGGTCCACACCCATCATCCCAGGGGTTAGGGAGGCTGAGGCAGGAGGATTGCTAGTTCAAAGCCAGCCTCGGCAAAAGCAAGGCACTAAGCAACTTAGCGTGACTCTAATAAGCAACTTAGCGTGTCTCTAAATAAAATACAAAATAGGGCTGGGGATGTGGCTCAATGGTCAAGTGCCCATGAGTTCAATAGCTGGTACCCTACCCCCCCCAAAATATAAACTCTTAGAAAGTAGTAGGGTGAAAATTAGGGGCTATGAGTAAGAACTAAGGGAAACTGGGAGATGTTAGCCAAAATGTACAAACTTGCAATTAAAATATGAATAACTAGCTGGGCATGGTGGCCTATACCTGTAATCCCAGAGGGTCAGGTGGCTGAGGCAGGAGGATGGCCAGTTCAAAGCCAGCCTCAGCAACTTAGCAAGGCACTAAGCAATTTAGCAAGACCCTGTCCCTAAATAAAATATAAAACATGTTAGGGATGTGGCTCAGTGGTTAAGCTCAATATTTCAATTCCCAGTATACATATGTATTTCTCTGTGTGTGCACGTGTGCACGCACTGGCACATGTGTACGATTTTTGGAGACCTAATGTTGACTTCAGTTAATAATAAAATGTTATATACTTGAAATTGGCTGAGAGTAGATCTCAAGAGTTTTCACTACTCAAAAAAGATAACTCTGTGAAGTGATCAATGTTAATCAACTTGACTGTGGCAATCATTTCACAATGTACACATATAACAAAGCATCACATTAGGGCCAGGGGTATAGCTCAGTGGTAGAGTGCCTGGCATGCACAAGGCCCTGGGTCCATCCCCAGCACCACAAAAACAAAAAAACATCATGTTGTAATATATACAATTTTTGTCAATTAAACCCCAAAAGCTGAAAAAGGTAGATACATGTAATAAATTAACTCTTAAAAATGAAATTATGACACATTATAACATGGATGAATCTTGAAGACATTATGCTAAACAAAATATGCCAGTCACATAAGGACAAATACTGTATTATTCTATTTATATGATGTTCTTAAGAATATTCATGGAAAGCGGAATTATATATTGTGTGCATGTACAAATATATAACAACGTTAATACATATTACAATGCACCAATAAAAAGGAAAATAAAAATGAAAAATGAAAAAAAATAATTGTGGAGGAATGGCAGAACAAGATTCATTAGTGGTTCATTAGTGGGTACAGAGCTTTGGTTACACAAGATAAGAAGAGTTTTGAAGAAGGACTGTGGTGATGATTGCAAAATAATGTGAATGTACTTAATGGCATGAATTGTATACTTAAAAAGGAATGACAGTTGCCTGGGGTTGTGGTTCAGTGGTAGAGTGCCCACCTAGCATGCATGGGGCACTGGGTTCGAGCCTCAGTATCACATAAAAATAAAATAAAGATATTGTGTCCATCTAAGACTAAAAAATAAATATTTTTAAAAAATGGCTGACAGTAACTTTTATTATGTATCATTTACTACAATTTTTAAATAAAATTTGTCAACAAAGCTTTCCCATAATTGGGAAAAAATTGTCAGAAAGCATATATCCAATAAAGAACATGAACCCAGAACAGAATCTTTTAAATTAAACAAATAATAAAACCATTACAAAACATGTAAGAGATGAATATTTTGCCAAAGAGGATATTCGGATGGCAACATGAAAATGTTCAAATCATTAGTCATTAGGGAAATACAGATTGAAACCACAAAGAGATACCACTACATACCTATGAGAATAGCTAATGTCGGGTGAAAAAAAACTGGCAAAACCAAGTGCTAGAGAAAATGTGGGACTAAACCTTTCATGAGAATGTCAAAATGGTAGAGCCACTTCAAAAAACAGTTCAGCAGTTTCTAAGAATGTTAAACATAAACTTACCATATATCCCAGCAATCCAACTCTGGGAAATTGCTCCAAAGAAATGAAAACACAAAAAGTCGCATACAAATGTTTACATAGCAGCTTTATTCATAATTGCCCAAAACTGCAAAGAATCTAAAATGTCCTACAAATGGGGAATAGATAAAACAAATGGTAGAACATCCACACAATGGCGTATGACTCAGGAACAAGAACTAATGTTAACAACCAATGACATTGGTAAATCTCAAATTTATTATTAGCAAATTGAGTCTCAAAAAGTTACATCTGTATAATTCCACTTATATGACATTCTTCAAAACATAAACCATAAGGACAAAGACAAATCAATGATTACTAGAGGTTAGTTATAGGGGACTGGTTTTAACTATAAAGTAGCAGGAGTGAATTTGGTGGGGGTAGGCTAATAGGACCGTTCCATACCTTGATTGTAATGGTTATTACATACCTCAATGCATAATTTATCAAAGCTTATATAACTGTAACCCAGAGTAAATTTTACTTTTTTTTTTTTTTTTTTTTGCAGTAATAGGGACTGAATTCAGGGCACTCTATCAATGAGATACAACCCCAGAACTTTTTATTTTTTTTATTTTAAGACAGTCTTGCTAAATTACCCAGGCTGGCCTCAAATTTATAATTATCCTGCCTCTGCCTCCAGAGTAACTGGGATTATAGGTGAATGTCGATATGCCTGGCTCCAATGTAAATTTTAAGAATACAGGTTTAAAACTTGATGGTGTAAAATAAGCCTATATACTGTCTGATTCTATTTATATGGCATTCATGCTAAAGCAAAAACACAGGGACAGAAAACAGATCAGTGGTTGCCAGGAACTGAAGATAAGGGAAAAGAGTTGACAACAACAAGGACTGCGGAGTTTTGGGGTGAAAACAAATATTCTGTATCTGGACTGTGATGGTGGTTCACTCATATATTAATGTGTCCAAGTCCACAGAACTTAAACTAGAAAGGGTAAACTTTATACAAATTATCTTAATTTTTTAAAAAAGAAGAGGAAAAAGATTCAATAACTAGCTTTAAGTCAGAAACAGTGGTGCACATCTGTAATCCCAGATACTCAGGAGTTTTTAAAAAACTTAAGATATGCTACAGGTGGAATATCTAGAATCTAAAATTCTTATCCCAACATGACTATTTTAGTTCTTCTATTTGATTTTGGCCAAATTATGTTCCCATGTTTCTCAATCACCCAGATATTTCTATTTTTCATCCTTGTTTACCAGAACCATTCAGGAATTAAAAAAAAACTATTTTAAATATTAAATTATGAAATTCCAACTGGATGTGGTGGCACATGCCTGTAATCACAGCTACTCGGGATGCTGAGGGGGGGTATTGCAAGCTTGAGGCCAGCCTGGGCAACTTTCAAAACTCTGTCTCAAATAAAAAAATAAAAAGGGATGAGGATGTAGTTCAGTGCTTGCCTAGTTTGCCTGAGGTCCTGGGTTAAATCCCCAGTACTGCAAAAAAGGGTGCATGTATATGCATTTGTATGTGTGTATGTGTGTGTGTGTATAAATAAAATTCTATATGGTTGTAAAATGGCTTTGGCAGTCTCAGTACACAATTTTTCATTTTAACACCTATCAGGAGAGCCTTATAATATGATGTGAATTAAACTGGACCTCATTCAAGGAGACTATGAGAACAAAATTTTAGCTAGACAATACCAGGATTTTTAAAGCAAAAAAAAGAAGAAAACGCATTTTAAGGACTTGATAACAGAGACTGGCACACAGTAGGTGCTTAATTAATGTACTTTTGTTAAGAAGGCAGTATAATGCAGAGGAAAGGGCCTGCATAGGGTTTTAATCACACTTGGTGCTACCAGTTAATGTTGTCTTGGGCATAACCTGTCAACTTTCTGAGCCTATTTATTTTTCTTATGATATTAATCCCATACCAGTATAGCCATACTGAGAATTAAGGAGGTTTAACAGATTTCCAGAGCTTGTTGCAGTTTGTGCACAATTAGTAACTAACTCCTTCCTTTGGCTGTGCCTGAATACAGTAGAAGTCCACACTTTCCAGACAGAAGAGCCTATAGTCAGAAGCTTTCTCCTGTGTCACCTGATTCCATTCTTAGGATCTGGTTAGGTAAACTTTGGGTGCCAGCCTGAGAGGCAGAGGCAAGAGCAAGACTAAAGGGTATATATTCATGGTCAAAGGATGGTATGGAAGTTTAGTGTAGGTAGCAAAGACTGAAGTAATGTAATGCCCACTCCTTACAAATATATCAACTCTGGATAAATGGCTAGGAACTGAAATTTTGTACAAGAAACAAAAATTCCTAGTAAAATGAGATTGTTTCAGTTGTAATCTTCTATCCCAGTCCCTTTACAAGAGCTTGTTATAACTTGGATCCTAAATGTATCCCAAAGGCCCATATGTTAAAAGACTTGATCTCAGAGTAAAGTAAAACTTTTAGGAGGTGGGGCCTGGTGGGAGATCCTTAAATCATTGGGATATTGAAAGGGATTGTGGGACTTCAGGCACTCCCACTTTTTTTTTTCCTTTTTTTGCTTCCTGGCCATAAGATGGAAGGTTTTGGTCACCACATGTACCAGCTTATCTATGCTATCTCACCAGAAAGCCAAAGCAATAGAGCCAATCAATCATGGACTGGAACTTTTAAAACTTTAAGTCAAAATAAGCCTTTTCTCCTTATAAACTGATATCAAGTATTTTACAATAGTGACAGCAAGCTGACTAAGCCAGGCCCCTAGTAGTGCTTGGGCCTGATGCCCTTGTCTGAGTAGGGTAGGCCCTCCAAGAGGTGATAGTTAATTATATTTTAATGGGTAGGTTCCAGCCACTGGGAAAGAAGATAGCTGGTGCAGTCCCAAATACAGCAACTCTCTCAAGGACACACTCTGAATAACTGGTATCAGAACTCTCCAGAATTATGGAATTCAAATGCTGATGCTGGATAAGGTCACACAAGGGCAGGGATCAGCCAGAGCACTTCAGTTAATGGAATTTCTCCAATTCTCACATATGCCAAGATGGGACTTGTCCCTAAAGCACCCAGCTGCCCTACCAACAGGTACCTTGTTTTCTCCTCCTACAATATAGTCTCTAACACACTTTAACACCAGCCAGGCTTATTTGTTTTCTTCTTCCCTTTATCCTATCTCCAGACCCTTGCACAGATATAAAAAGGCTCATCACTATTCCCCTGTCCCCACTGCCACCCAAGTGAGGACCTATGAACTTGGAAGAAAGATGCATGGCCAGAGCCCATTATAGGGATACCTTGGTGGTGATACCTCTCATTGAATGGTAAACAAATCATCTTCCCTGCAGGGGCTCTAGGTCTACTAACAGTCTAGCCTTTATTTGTACATTCAGCGGTCTAAGAGGGCTTGTGGGAGGTCATCCTTAATATCAGCTCAACCTACGGGGTGGGATCCTAGGATTAAGAGTGAGGGATAAATTGTTAGCACCTGGGCTCTGCTGATATTTTCTCTTATAAAACACAGCAGGGATTAAGTAAAGTTCACTGGATTTGGCAACTCCAACCTCTCTAGAGAGAATGGAGGGAACAGTATGGGGAGGGGACACACAGCATGGGAAGTTTTTTTATATATATAGGTACTTCTGAGAGAACCAAACTCCATTTGTACTCCCCCATCCTATAGGAACCAGTGCTTGGAGGGGGAGGGGAGTGGGATCAACTGATCAGTCACCAGCACTGTCATCACCGTTGCCCGAGAGGTCGAGAACAGACATCATGGAATCAGACAGCTTGCTGGCGATTTTATCTGCAAATGAAGAAATAGATGCAATTTTTGGTGACTGGCTTGCCAAAAGAAGGCCTACCCGAGCTGGCCTAAATGAAGCTTGGTCTGCACCAAGCTCCCAAAATGGCTCACGTAATCCCCAAACATTAAAAAAAAAAAAACTGATGGGCTGTTGGAAGCCACTATTAAACCTCACAAGTAGAACCATTTATCAACCTGTGAACACCATAATATAACTTCTATCTCAGAGTTTCAACTCTCAGGCTCCAAATATTTTTGTCTCTTCCAAGAACCAAAATAGTAATTTTTTTTTTATATTGTGTTGAACTTAGCACTCCATCCTTACCCTCAAAACAAAGCTCTCACCAGGCATGGTCATGCACACCTGTGACCCTAATGACTAGGGAGGCTGAAGCAGGTGGATCACAAGTGGGAGGCCAGCCTGGGCAACTTGTCAAGACCCTGTCTCAAAATAAAATATTAAAAGGCTGAGGATGTAGCTGAGTGCCGCTGGGTTCAATCCCCAGTACCACAAAAACAAAACAAAAAAACAAAGCTCCCACGGCAAAAGAGCAACACAGCAGTAGTAGCTTTGGGCCTGAATGCTCACAGCTCACATCTCTCATTTGTCCCATTATTCTTCAGGATTCCCTGAGAATGGGTTAGATCTCCTCACAGTACTTGTTGTCTCTTCAGAGTGATCACTCTGTACTGTCAAATGTCTGTTTTGTCTCTTCCACTCTCTAATAAAACCAGAAGTTCAAGGGCAGTTTATTTCTGGAGTCCTAGGACTCAGTGTAGAGCCAGGCCAAGAATGAATGTTTGGTTATAAAATATGGCCTAGTTCAAAGAATAGGGCTGACAGGGCCAATCAACCCTACCTAGTTTACATTTTGCCTCCACTTATTACTAGCTGTCTCACCTTGAAAGTGTCACTGAATATCTCTGGGCCTCAGTTACCTCACTTACTACATGCGATATAAATCTTTTAGAATGAGTTAGTGAGGGTAAGTGCAACCATCCTTCAGTATCCATAGAGAAAGATTTGGAGGACACCAAATCCAGATTTGGTATTCTGAAGGCCCTTATATTAAAATGGTGTAGTATCTGCATATAAACTACACACATCCTCCTGAATGCTTTAAGTCATTTTTAGATAAAACTTAATACAGGATAGATATATGTAAATAGTTGTCATATCATGTTGTTTAGGAAATAATGACAAAAATATAGTCTTTGTACATTCAATACAAGTGCAATTTTTTTCAAATATTTCTGATTTGTAGTTGGTTGAATCTGCAAGTACAGAAGCCACAGATATGGAGGACCAACAATAAAGCATGAAAACCTCAATGGGCCAGCTACACAATGGACCATCATTAAAATGAAGGTAAGGTCTTTCATGTATTGATATGGAAATATCCCTAAGACTATTGAACAGAAAAGTGATGGAGCAAAACCACAGGTTCAGTAGACTAGCATTTGAGTAGAAAAAACAACAAAGAATATATAGGTATTTTCTTGTGTATCAGGAAAGAGACACAAGAAACTAACTGGTTGCCTATGAGAGACCTAGATGACTAGCAGATAGGAAAGATATTTTACTGTATATCCTTTAGGATTTTGAGTGCAGTGCCAAATGATAAAGTATAAATTATATAGCCTGTTAACTACCTAATACATAGAAAGTACCTGATAATGTGGCCATATTTATACAAAGACTAGGCCACTGGTTTTCCAAGTGTAGTTCCCAGAGGACCAGTATCAGTTGATTCATTCAATTAGAAACTCTAGGGAAGGGCTCTATATATCTGCCTTAACAAACCCTCCAGATGATTCTGGTACAAGCTAAAGTTTGAGAACCACTATTCTAGTAGTTGAGCCCCCTAACACATGCCTGCCCCCCAACCCTAGCCTGGAGCTAGACACATGGGTATGCTCATTCAGGAGCCTTTATTCCAGGCCACAAACTGGAACTTTTCAGAGCAAAGAGGCAGCCAAGTACCCCCACCTGTACGCTTCTGCATCTTCTTCTTATTTTTCAAGGCTGATGCCAAAGCCTGACCCTGTTGCAAGGGATCTGTCTCCATGATCCTCTGCAGCATCGGACGGCGGTCCACTGGGCTAACATCCACCACACTGTTGTTCTTGGGAAGGGGGTAGTCCACATTGCGTTTAGCCCACCCCATCTGATGACGGTTTGGATTGGTGCAATACCCAGTGAGGTCTCCAATCTGGAGAGAGAAAGAGGATAATGGTGAGGTCCTGACCTCCAGAGGACCTCCAGAGACTTCTACAAAGGAGGCAGGAACAGGCTTGGTAAAGAATAGGAAGCCTTTATCTGGGTATGATGACACACATCTGTAATTCAAACTACTTGGAATATGAAGCAGAAGAATCTTAAATTCAAGGACAGCCTGGGAAACTTAGACCCCGTCTCAAAAATAAATAAATAAATAGATAGATAGATAGATAGATAAATAAATAAATAAAAGGGGGCTGGGTATGTAGTTCAATGGTTGAGTGCCCCTGGATTCAATCCCCAATAAAGGGAAAATATGGAGCCTAGAGTCATGCAAACCAGGCTCCAATTCTGGCTTCACCATATACTAGCAGGTGCTTAGTTAGCCTCACAACATCAGCTTGCTCCTTTGTCACATGGGAGTGAATAACAGGTAGCCTGTATGACTTTTACCAGAATAAAATGAGCTGGGTGTGGTGGTGCATACCTGTAATCCCAGCGGCTCAGGAGGCTAAGGCAAGAGGATTGCAAGTTCAAAGCCAGCCTCATCAACTTAGTGAATCTCTGAACTTAACAAGACCCTGTCTCAAAATTTTTTAAAAAGGGTTGGGGATGTGGCTCAGTGGTTAAGTGCCCCTGGGTTCAACATCCCACCAAAAAGAATAAAACGAAAATGTAAGGTTACTTGATCAATGACAATTGTATTATAATTTAACAAATATTCTTGGAACCTATTTTGTTCCCAGCTGTGTGTGGGAACAAAAAAAAAAAAAGAGTCAAACTCATTTCTACCTTCAGGGAGCAACCAAGCTAAAGAGCATATAACAATCTATCTCATAAGCATGGCATCTGCCCATGAGGGACTCAAGGATGAGTGACAGATGATAACAGTCAACATACTACTGATGGGGAGGGTCACTTCTTTCCCTCTTTTTTTTTTTTTTGGTGGTGGTACTGGGGATTGAACCCTGGGGTACTTTATAAATGAGCTGTATCCCTGACCTTTTTGAGACAGGTTCTCGCCAGGTTACCAAAGCTGTCCTCCTATCTCAGCATCCAGAGTCACTAGGATTACAGGCATACACAACCATGCCCAAAGGATCATTGCTAACTAAACACTGGAAAAGCACAGAGCATACTTGGGGGGCACCAAAAAGGGAATGGGGAATGGGAGTGGCAGGAGTGAAAGATGTATGTAAGTACTACAAGCCAGTATTAACAGAAAGTTTATTATATGCCCAGTACCATTCTAAGTTCATATATGAATATACATGTGAGTGTGTGAGTGTGTGTGTGTCTTAGTTTAAGTACATTCCTGGATATTTGTACAACCATAAAAATCACCTAACAATGCATCTCTCAGAACATCTCCCCATTGTGAGGCATCATATGTGACTATATTCACCCCTCTGTATATACGTGTTAATTAACTTAATCCTTCTAACAATGCTATGACAAACAAAGCACATGAGGTCACACATCTAACATGCAGTGGAGTAAATTAGAACCTAAGCAGACTAGCTCCAGAGCCCATGCATATGACCACCCACTTCCCTGTAGCAAGGAAAAGGCAAGAGATGGGACTGAGTAAAGCTATCACACCGCACCACTTGGGTTGAGGGCAGAAGCACTGTTCATGATGCAGTATACCAGGGAACCCTTTCAGGTTTCTGAGGAAAAAAAGGGTGTGTTCTAGAGCTTAGGAACTCAGTGAAAAATATTACAACTTTACACTGATTTTCCCTTTAAGCAACGGGAAACCGTGAAAACAAGAATAGTGTGATTCCTTCACAGCTGGAGACCACAAATTCTCTTCCAGACTAACTAGAGACTATGGTTTCCTCCTTGGACTGACTGCATGCCCTATGGTGGCCCCTTTCTTTATTATTAATGTTCTAATATACAAACCTGCCTATGTCATTTCCCTGCTTAAGAAACCCTTCCAGATATATAACCATAAAAATAAAAGACAGCTCCTGAAATTAAGCATGTGGAACAATCTCCAAGATGAATTTGTACATGAATCAAGTAAAATGCAGAACTATATGAACAGCATTAAAATAGTTATCTGTAACTGCTTGTGTGGGTATATGTGCACATATAAATATGGAATAGCTCTGAAAAGACATCCAAAAGTCTAATAGTGACTGGCTCCAAGAAAGGAACAGGGTGGCTGAGACACAGAAACAAGAGAAAGATTTACTTCTTGCTGTATACCTTTTAGTACCTTTTAAATTTTAAAATATGATTTGCATTACCTATTTTAAAAATTTTAAAAAAGAAAAAAATTAATAAGCACAACAGAGGTGAAAATCCCTTTGAAGGCAGGTGCAGTGGTGCACACCACTAATCCCAGTGACCCGGGAGGTTGAGGCAAGAATATAGTAAAGTCAAGGTCAACCTCAACAACTTGGGAAGACCCTGTCTCAAAATTAAAAAAAAAAAAAAAGTTGTGCACAACAATGGCACATCCCTGTAATCCCAGCAACCCCAGCACCTTGAGAGGCTAAGGCAGGAGGATAGCAAGTTCAAGTCCAGCCTCAGCAATTTAGCAAAGACTTAAGCAACTTTTTAAGTGGTGGTACTGGGGATTAAACCCTGGGGTACTTTATAAATGAGCTATATCCCTCTTCTCTAACCCACAAACAGTATAGATGAGGGCTCTTAGAACCATGCTGTCTTCAACCTTCACCCCACCCCCTTTCCCATCCCTGCCAATACTCCATGTGCCTCTCATCAGAGTGAAGATGTCTTTCTGAAATGCAGAGATGAGGGAACTGGAAGAAAAAGAGGCTGGAAAAAACCACCTAGAGTCATGCCATGCAAGTCTTGAATAACAGAACTCAGATATAAGAACCTAATTCTATAGGTGCTAGGGAGCCATGAACGGCATTTAATCAGAGGAGGTTAACATGGTCGGACTAGGCCATAAAAAACAGACCTGGGGCATATGTCTAGGTGAGTTGAGGACTGGACGTTTACTCTAGAGTTATGGAAATGGTAGAAACAAAGGGAAATTGACAGATTCTCAAAGAGATTTTGAAGGGAAAAACCATAGGACTTGCTGACTGACAGTTATAGCATCTTGGGTACTAAGTGGGAGAAAGAAAAGTCATTTGCAACTTAAAACAATTGAGTGACTAAATAGTAATACCTGTTCTATGGACTAGAACCAGGTCTGGGAAAAAAGCTTGGAAGATTATATTTCTTCTCCTTAGACCTATTATCATTTGGCAAAAGACACACCAGGTCAGGCATCCAGGAACCCACAGGGAGTATATGAACCACTCACACCCACCTTGTAGGAGCTAGGCAAGACAGACTGACCCCTTTCTAGAATGTGGGTAAAGGAAAGGGTTGCCATGAAGAAAGAGGAAAAGTACCTTATATACGGTGGTTTTATTTTCAATGGCATCTGCTATTTTCACCATCGGAGAATGAAGCCACTTAATCTCCATTTCGAGCGGGTCTGTGTCGCCCAACAGCTCATCTGATTCTCCGGTGGCCAAGCCTTTAACAGAACCAAAACCATCATCAGGATCCTTGCTCCTCTCTGCTGTCAGCCCCTTGGTCAGGTGTTAGCAGAAAGGACATGTGGATGCTGCTCAGGGGAGTCAAGTGGGGGAGAAGCTTCTCAGTCCTACTAAAAGGCTACATGAAGAATGATTAAAAGCATGAGTTTTATAATATGACACTCGCCTACTGGGGGCTGGCCTCAGAGTCTTGGCTTGCTAATCTGAAAAATAGAAATTTCACAAGCCCTATACACAGAGGGCTACTGTGAGACATGGCAGAGGAGCCCTATTATTGTTTAACCCAACCATGATGTTGCTCTATAACTGGAAGCTACCAGGATTACCTCCCTAGGACCAGGACTCTGTTTCTTCTGGCCCATTGTCTGGAGTTGGTCTCCACTGTAATCTCAGATGTGCCAACTGCCTTGTGCCACACTATCCTCATACCTCCTATAGTTCTGCCCCCATTCCATTCTTCCTAGTCCCTACTCACCCTTTAAGATCCAGTACTAGGACCAACTCATCCAAAAATGCTTCACTACTAAGCTCTCCCCCACCCTCTTCTCTATGTCCCAGACTTCAATCTTTTGCCTAAATGTACTCAGTGATGAAGCCCCACTTGTCCTCATACCCATCAAGAGTCAAGCATCATCCTGAAAACATGATCTCCCATCCCTCTCAAGTTCCCCTGGAGAGAAGTGAAAACTAAAGTTCAGAAAGGGGGAGGGTGACCTGCCTAAAGCCACAGGGAGAATAAACAAGGAAGTAAACAAGTTCTCTTGTCTTCATTTGTAATAAAAGGAAATTAGAAAACCCAGAGAAGAAAATATCTGACCCTCCAAGAGAAACAGATACCAGAAGCTAGGTTACCAAGACATTCTCAACTACCTCACAGTGTCTACACAAGGGTCCAGGGAGTCTTGGGACTGGATACAGAAAGAGGCCAGAGCCACAAAGCCAGGGCTTCAGAGGGTAGTGTCTTGTGAAAAGAAACTTTCTAAAAAGTTTCTGAAAGTCACACTTTAATAATAAAATCACCTTAATAATAGCTAAAATTTACTAAGGATTTATTTACTATATGCAAATTACTGTTCTACATGTCTTTTCCTTTCTCGTGTGCTAAGCATTGAACCCAGGGCTGTGAGCACACTAAGCCACTGAGCTACATTCCCTAGCTATCTTTTATACAGTAAATAAATCCTTACAATCACTTACCATGGGTGCTGTTGTCACCATTTTACAGATGACATCATTGATACAGGGAGAAGTGAAATAACTGTTCAGCCTCATACAGCTAATAAGAAACAAAGCTTGGACTGAATGCAGGCAGTTCAACCTTTCAGCCACCTAGCTACTCAGAGCTGGGTATCTTAGATAACAGGGCAGTAGAGCTGGTTCCAAGGCTACCTTTGCATGCCACTGTCTATGTGCCTTTTGGCAAACATTACCATTTTGTGAATTAGACACCTCACCAGCCAATGGGCATTAAGAAGGAAAGCCTAGGAATACATTTGCCATGGTGGTGGAAAAGCCTATAGCAACAGTAGACAAAGGGCTTTTGAAAGGAACATCTAAACCCACTCCAGGCCAGGTCCCAAGAGATAAGAATTTGCACCTAACAAAAGCTCACAACCATCACCACCACCACCACCCCCTGGCCCAGATTACAATTCTCTACCTTGCAGGAAAAGAAATTAGGCTGAGCTTGTTAAACTTGTACAAAACACAAGTAGTAGAACCAGGGAAGAGGAGATTGTAAGTGGGATCTGCCATCAGGTCTGTGTGGCACCATCAGGAGAAGACCAAGTACAACCAGTTATCCATACTTACATTCCATGGTGTCTTCATTGGCCTGCTCAGTATCTTCAATGTCAAAGACCTCAGTCATTTCCTTAACAATCTCAGCACTCAAGTGGGCTGGTAGAGTGTGGGTGGGTGGTGGTGGTGTATAGAAGCTGATCTTTCCACTGCATTGAGAGGTGGAAGGAAATTGATGATGGTCATTGAGAGAAATAATGATCAATCAAAAAGAGGATGAGTTCAAAAGCCAGAAACAGTAAGGGACAAGAAAACGCAGAGTGGCTTCTGAACAATAGGATGAGTTGCTCGATAATCCCTGGCACAAAGTCCCAAGCACAACATGCCCTCGTGCCTTGGTTTTCCCCTGCCTTGGGATAGAGGACAGGTAGCCACACCAGCTGTGATAAACACAGATGAGCTATTGTAGAGCCAGACTCCCAGCAGGCCTCATGCTCAGTCCCTTCCTCACCTCACCCAGTCAGCTAGGACAGCTTTAGCAGCCTGCTCCTGACTGTATAAGCCTCCCTTCTTCTTCTTTCCCAAGCGGTGGGCCACTGCAGTCAGAAAGTGCTCAGTGGTCTGGAACCCAGAAACTCCATAGTAGTTGGAAATCTGGTTTAGGAAGGAAAAAAAGAAGTCATTAGGAAGAAAAAAATAGTTCTTGGAGTGGGTAGGGTAGGGCATCCACCAGGGGACCTGCTGTGTACCTCTTCCAGGTTGCAGCGCTGTAAAATGGTCTCCACTGGGGTCACAGGATCTGCCAGCTTCTGCACATGGATGCAGTTACGCAAAATAGTGCCCACCTCGGAGTTGGGTCCTGGGACAATGCCTGGAGCATCCAGCAGCCTGATGAACTTGTCTAGGTAGACCTCCTGCATGAATCTGGGGTGGGAGAGAAGAAAAAACTGCATGTGCTTGACATTTAATCATAAAGGTTGAGCCTGGAGAGGTGGGGGAGGGGATAAAGGAGCAAGGAGAAGGCGTTTTACAGAAGCTGAAAAATGTAGAGCTGGTGGGGTCTGGGGCCCTATAGACCTTGGGCTGATTCTAAAATTCAGCGTCTGCCATTGGGGACCAGGCTGCAGAACCATAAGTATGCTTCTGACTCTCTGGGTTTCAGTTGCTCCATCTATGCACCCGAGCAACTCATGAGTAGCCCAATCTTGCATTGTTCTTATGAGGAACTAATGGGAAGGACCCAGCAGGGTGCCTGTACCACACCTGGGGGTACTAGGAAAATGAGGGACTCCCACGCCCAGGAAAAGAATCAGAGGATTGTACAAAATTAGGAAAGGGATAAGGCTGAAGGAATAGGAGTTTGAGGGAACTTTAGTGTTAAGAAGTTGTGAAGTAGAGGAGCAGGTGCTTACTTGGTAACCCCAGGAACGGCTCCCACACTGCATGCACGGCTGCGCTTCAGGCTATTGATCAGGCTGCTCTTCCCAACATTGGGAAGGCCTAGAAAGTAGCAGCAGATGACTCAGGGTAGAAATGACCCTCAGGAACATCAAGTCAGACTCTGTGAGGGAAGCCTGGCAGAAGCAGTGATCAGGCCATGGAGAAGCCAAAAACAGAGCCTGGCCTCCTGCCTTCCCACTCTAAGGTCTGATCAAGACCCTTACAAGGCCTTTCTTCCTCTCTTCCTTTTGTGGACATGCTCAGTAAATGTGTTCTTCTCTCTAGATGTGACATCCACCTCCTACCCACAACCAGCCTGGAGAGGAGCTCAATTCAAGGCCTCACAGGCCCAATGCAACAGAAGGTGGACATCAAGAAACGTCTGTAAAACACAGGGCCATCTGTTCTGCTGTGTAATTGCCCCGGGGGATAAGGGGGTTCTCTCCAGATACCAGTCTCTTTGTGCAGCTGTCTTTTCTTGTGATTTTTTTTTTTTTTTTTGGTATTTAGGCACCTGTGAACTGCTCTCAGCCTGTGAATAGCTTGTTTCTTCCTCCCTGGGTCTCTCATTCTCACCATTCTCTCTGCATGTGCATGAATTTACATATGTAGACTACTCTCTCATATATGTGCTTTGGTTTCTATACACCTCTCTTAGTGATTTTCTCATTCCAAAATATGACTGTTTTGTGCTTTTTTTTTTGGTCTCTCTCCCAGTCTATTTCTCTAGCATCTCTTTTTCTTTTTCTGTGTATGTTTGTATCTAAGCATCTATTTCTCACTCTGGCCATAGTTCTTTCTGATTCTCTACACCCCACCAATTCTGCCTCTTTGTAATTCCTTCTATGCTAATTTCTGTCAGCCTCCTTCTGACCATACCTAAGGTGAATCAGGTAAATGATGGCTATTAGAGACTCCCATGCCCAGAGTAAGAATCAGAGGATGGTCCAAAATTAGAAGGGGCTAAAGACATGGAAGCCTCCTCTCTATGAGTTCCTCTACATATTTGCTTCCTGAATGTGTTTCATTGTAACTCTTTTTATCTCTGCAGGTATCTCCCTAAGTCTATGTGTGTTTGTGTGTGTTTCTCTCTCTACACATACAATCTGTCTCATCGGGAGAGAGATAAATGAATATATCTGTCTCATCATAGACATGATCATGTATCTCTCTCCCGATGACTCTAGATTGTGTTAGAGGGTTATAGTGTATCTAGGCACATGAGTGTTACCCTATGACTCTATTTGCTTTAAGAGAACAGAGTTGGGGTGAGTACATGTGGAAAAGGCTTGGTCTGCATGCATTGGCCCCTCTGTCTCCAGATGTGCATCTGCTGAGTGTGTACAAGATTCCACACATGTAGATATGTGTGTGTGTGTTTACGGATATATATGTGTACTCAAGTCTGTGTGTGTGTTTCTTTGTGTCTATATATCTCTCTTTGAGTCTGCCTTCATCCCTGAATGTTCTTTCTTTGGGTATGATGTCTGCACTCTATATACATGGGGTGTCCTTATCCTTTCTATGCCTCCCTCTGTAGGTTTCTGTACACACAAATCTAACTCAATGTCCCTTTTGGTATTTCTTTTTGGTCATTATATCCCTCTCTCTCTGCATCCCTCTGTCATTTAAATTTGTCTAATTCTTTCATTCTCCACCAACCCTGCCATCTGGCCTTCCTGTTTTATTTTTCTGCATCTTCCTCTGTCTATTCAAGTATATGTATCTATACATTCTCAACTGTCCAACTCTCTCTCCATTTCTCTATCTTGGCTTTACTTTCTCTGCCTGATGATCTGTCTTCATTTGTCTCTCATGATTTCCCTAGTCCCTTCCCATGATCCTTCCCTTAGTACCCTGGGTTCCATAAAAGCTCAGGATTAAAACTCAGCCCTGCCTTGTCTTGCACTGGGCTAACTCCACAAGTCTTTTTTCCCCCCCCTTTTTCTGGGTTTCAGTGTCCTCATCTATAAAAGAGAGAGAGTAACACCTCCTTCCCACAGCTCTGACAAGATGAGATGATAACAATTCCAAGCTTGGCACTATGTATGTGGTCCATGGTTCTAACATTCAATAAACTAGTGACTATGAACGTGCTTTTCCATGTCCACCTATCCAAATTATAGCTCAGAAAACCCTTTCTGAACCACTCCCTTCTTCCCCCAAAAGGCATATTTTCCCCAATGAAATCCCTCTTCAAAGAAGGAACCTAGACCCCAAGACTGTTCACCATGCCTTACCCACGACACCCACACGGATGTGGGTGCGTACTTCACCCAGGCGGCAATAGTTTCCCAGAACCCTCATGAGATTTTCAGCTCCAAAGCAAGCTTTGCTTTTTAGCAGCGATTCAGGGGCTTGATCCACTGGCACATTACACCGATTCTGGAAAATAAGGGCTGTTACAGAAGAGGCATCAGGTAGCAGATGAAATCTGAGTCCAGATTTTCAATTTAGAGGGAAACATTCAGGAAGTCCCTGTGATCATCAAACTCCTCAGCCTAAAACAGAGGGCTTCTCAGACAGGTACTGAACACCTACTCTTTACCACTCCCCTCCACTGTCTTTGCATCTCCAGATTTCTCTTGTCTCTGCTTCTGACTTCACATGTTTCTTGCTTCCCATAGAAGGGGGCAGGGTGGCATCCTGGCTCTAGACAAGTCACGTTTGAGTTCCAGTTCTACCTCTCATAGGCCTATTGCAAGCAAAGCCTGCTTCCCTTCTCTAGGCCTCATGTGCACAACAAGAATGCCTGCCCTCCTTGCCTCTACAGGGATGAGGAGGTGACTGAACCAAAGACTACATTCCCTTGACACCTCACACAAGACAAGGCCATCCCAGCCTCCACATCTTTATTCCTAATACCACCTCCTCTGCCCAGAATGCCTTTCCTCCTTTTCTTCATCCCTTACTCACCCCAACATTGTTTCTAGTGCCACAAAGTTAGAATTAAACTAAACATCCATCAATAAGAAATAGGTTCAAAAAGCCTATCTGGCATATCCTTAAGGTAGAATACAAATGTAACACAACAGGTTTCTTCTTTCATTTGTTTGTTTTTTGAGGTACTGGGGATTGAACTCAGGAGCATTATACCACTGAGAACCACATTCAGTCCTATTTGTTTTTTTAAAATTTTGAGACAGAGTCTTAATAAATTGCTGGCCTTGGCCTCAAACTTGCAATCTTCTTGCCTCAGCCTCCTGATTGTCTGGGATTACAAATTTGTACCACCATGCCCAGCTGGAATACAACTGTTCAAAACATCTTTGCCTTCAAAACAGCCACAAAATTGGGCTCAGTAGTAGACTGCTTATCTAGCATGCACAAGACTCTGGGTTTGATCACTAACAGCACACAAACACATGTGAAAAAAAAAAAAAAGGTCAAAAGACTATAAATGAGACAACATATTTCTCAAAGCCATAAAAGTTCAAAGTTATCTAAATAAATCCAACATAGATTAACCCTGTTTATATAGGGATTTCTGTTTGGGAAATGTTGATTTGAGAATCACATGTCCCTGGGAATAAAAACGGGCATGCCTACAATAGAAAAATAAAAACATGGGGCCGGGGTTGTGGCTCAGTGATAGAGCGCTTGCCTAGCAAGAATGAGGCACTGGGTTCAATCCCTGGCACCACATAAAAATAAAATCAAATAAAATAAAGGTACTGTGTCTATCTATAAAAAATTTTTTAAATAAATAAAAAAATAAAAACATTAATACTATTAAGTATTGGCAAGGGGACAGGGAACCAGGTGTGGTGGTGTATGCCTATAATCCCAGTGACTCAGGAGGCTAAGGAGGATTGCAAGTTTGAAGTCAGCCTCAGCAACTTAGTAAGACCCTGTCTCAAAATAAAAAAAAAAAAAATAGGAAGACTAGGGATGAAACAATCTTGGGTTCAAGACCCAGTATTTAAAAAAGATATAGGGGGTCCTATTCATCTACCCCACTGGTGGGAGGATAAACTGTGACAGCCATTATGAAAGCAATTCCATCTATGTTGTGAAAAATGCAAAATGCACAAAGCCTATGTATGACCCAGTGATTCCATTTCTCAGTACCTAACCCACACCAATACTTGCCTCCATGCCAAGGAGAATGTACAAGGGAATTTGTGGAAGTACAGATTATAATAATGAAAAATGGTAAACTAGGGGCCTGTGATGTAGCTCAATAGTAAAGTGCTTGCCTAGCATTCTTAAGGCCCTGGGTGCCATTCCCAGCACTACAAAAAATACTAAGTTTAATGCCTGGGTTGGGTTTGTGGCTCAGTGGTAGATATTTGCCTAGCATGTGTGGGGTACTGGATTTAAGCCTTAGCACCACACAAAAATAAAAAATAAATAAAATAAAGGTATTAAAAAACTAAGTTTAATGCCTGGTGCAAAACTGGAAAAAAAAAAGTTCCCCTAGCACCCAAATTCTCTCTCTAGAAGCAACCAATGTTTCTGTAATACTTTTTCATAATAAAAAATGTATTTCTATATTAATGATATGATTAACAGTAAAATATAACTTTCTTATATTCATATATGAATATACAACCAATGAAACTCCACTTCATGTATAAACACAAAAGTGGGATCCTAATTAAGGCTCAACATTGAAGGCACAGTTCAATTACTAAAGGGATAAAGGACCCATTCCATATCATAACTCCCTAACCCTGGTCCTAGGCTACCCTGAAAAAGGATAGATACCCTGATCCCAGACTTACCAGGTTTTTGACCTGATGTTGGGTGCTGGCCTTAAAAGCCACAGTTGGCAGCTCATTACGAAGGTAATCCAACCACTTCTCCACAATCTCCTTAGGAACCAAGTCTGGGGAAAATAGGAACAGATGGGGTTGGCAAGGAGAACATCACCTCCATGGCTCACTCCAAAGACATATCCATAAACACCGAAGGGTAGGGCCACCTCCTGCCAATAGGTCTCTCCACTGGCTCTGTCAGTCCCTGCCCAGTCTCCAGATGGGAGTTACAAAGGAGAGTCTGGTCTACGGGACCAGTTGGCCCTCCCTGAAGGCAACTGTTTGCTCAGGGAAAAAATGTGCAAACTAGTTGTTTGGTCCCAAATGGCCTCCTTCCAAGTCAAGGTGCCCAAGGTGCCAGAGGCCTGCCAAAGACTGTTTTCCCTCTCAAAGGGTTGGAGATATAGCTCAGTGGTAGAGTACCCTTAAAAAATAAGTTTAGTGCCTGGTACAAAAATTAATAAAGTGTTCCCCTAGCACAAAAATTCTCTCTCTAGAAGTATTAAGGATGTAGTCAGTGGTAGAGCACTCTTGGATTCAAACTCCAGTACTGTAAAAAGAAAAATAACAACTATCAAAAGAAAGACTATCATTTGTGAAGTACTGACCATGTACCAAACATTAACCCTCAAACAAACCTGTCAGGTTGGGACATTCATGACCCATTTTATAAACAGAGAAATAGGAGATCTCAGAAGTGACATGACTTGTCTAATAACTCAAGAGAAAATAACACAGGTAGGATGAGACACAAACCTGATGATTCCTCAGTCCATATGCTCTTTTACTCCAATCTTTGAGTTCCAGTTTGGGGAAGAGAAGAGCTCTCCAGGACTGTCAAGTCATAAAAATGGCTCAAAAATGGCAAGAATGGTGACCTGAAAGGTTGACTTCACGTCCACCTTGCATTACACTCATTTGTGTGTGTATGTATTTGTGTACCTTCAGACAATATTCCTGGCTTTGAAAACTGGAACAAGAATTTCTACCCGGCATGACAGTTATGAGTACCAATGTGTTGCTCGATCTATATCTGGTATGAGCTAGTCTTTCAAGAAGGCTGACCCCTTCCCTGCCTTACTCAATCCAGCCAAACACCTACCAATCTTGTTCAAGACCAGGACCAGCTTCTTGTTGCCCTCTGCCCGCAAAACAGCCTCCTCCATTTGGAAACACCGACACCCCAATGGGTCTCTGGCATCCAGGACTTCCAGAATCACATCAGAGTATTGTACTACCTGTACAGCAGAGGACAGAGGGATGAAGGCAGGGAATAGAGTGGACAGTAGTCATGTAGGCTCATGAAAGAAAAGGTCTCCATTTCAGTCAGGAAAAATCAGAAATGGAAAAGAAATGAAAATGGATTGGGACCCTCCCAAAAAGGTCTTAAGAAATGGATCCCTGCACCTTACGGAACTCCTTGTAATAAGCCTTCCTTGTAGCCTCATCATCCAGCTGAGGAAACATATTTAATTCCTGCAAAACCTCCTCCTAAAAGAGAAAATAAAGAGAATGGATTGGGGAAAGAAGGGACGAGAAGGGGGAAAAAACACAGAGTACAGAAGTGTACATGCTCAAGGGCTTTGGAAACCACAGGAGGCTAGGGAAGCCATGTCAGTCTCAGTCCACCTAAAAGTAACTTTGACCAACCCACACAGTTGAAAACTGGAAAAAGAATGAACAGAACAACATGGTGCATGTGTTTAGCTATGTATATGCATATACTTGAGCACCAGTCAGACGCCTGAGCATGCACAGTGGAGTGTAAGGGAGGGATGTGAGGAAAACAATCTATGGTAGATATAGAATTGGGAAGCCAAAATCTGCACTATATATCAGGAGTTGGTAATTGCATATTCTGTGTTTGAATCAAGAACAGATGCCAGATAAGCAGTGAGAAGGCCCAGAAGGAAAACGAAATCCCCCCATATGCTTCTCTCTCTCAACCCTCCCCTTTATACTCTTACTCCCTCTTTTGTACCCCCTCCACTCATCACACCTTTCCAAGCCCCCAACCCTACCACCACTCCCAGTTTGGGGCTCAAGTTTGGGAGAGAGATGCTCTCCAGAGATACCTAGTCAGAAATAAGGTTCAAAATGGCCCCTTATCTCCCCTTTACCCTCCCCCACTGTCCCTAATCTTTCCTCTCTGTACTTATTCCTTTCTTCCCCTCCAACAACCTCACACCCTTCCTGTCCCTTTTGCAGTGTGACAGCAAACCCACACTAATCCCACCCAGGGGCACAGGCTGCTCTCTTACCTTGCGTTCAAACTCCTCCTGGCGTCTCAGGACATCCTGACAGTAGCTCTCAATGGTCCTGCGTCTGTGTCTCTCTTGCTCCCGGGCAGCCTGCTGCTTCTCCCTCATCTCCTCAACCTACCAAGTGAACAGATTGCTAGGACTAGAGCTGACTAGATCTACATACTAAGAGAGAAATGGATGACAGAGTAAATAGTGCTACATGGCAGAGGTAAGAGAAACTGGGATACAGAGTGAGGGCAGACAGAACAGCAGGAAATAGAGTACTTGAGAGGAAGAAATTGGAGAAATGAAGGGAAGGAGATAGTGGTAGAGAAAAAAGAGAGTGGACACAGTGGCACACACATGTAATCCCAGAGACTCATGAGGCTGACAGGAGGATCAGAAGTATTGAACCCAGCCTAGGTGACTTAGAAAGACCTTGTCTCAAAAATAAAAAGGGTTAAGGCTGGGATTGTAGCTCAGTGGTAGAGTGCCTGCCTAGCATGCGTGAGATACTAGGCTCAATCCCCAAGCACCACATAAAAATAAATAAAATAAAGGTATTATGCCCATTTACAACTAGAAAAATACTTTTAAAAATAAATAAAAAGGGCTGAGGATGTAGCTCATTGCATAGAATACCCCTAGGTTCAATCCCCAGTATCACAAAAATAAATAAATAAATAAGAAAAAGAGGGTATGCGAAGCTCAGAGACTGCATTATAAGCAGAGAGGAATCACTTAAGACCAGACAAGAAAAAAGGACAAGGTCCTGGGATATAACCTCATTTTAAAAGTTGGAAGTAAAAGCTGGATGCCATGGTGCTGGCCTGTATTCCCAACTATTCAGGAGGATAAAGGAGGTAGATCCCTTCAGCCCAGGATTTCAAGGATACTCTGGGCAACATAGATATCCAGTCTCAAAAATCACACAAGCAAGCAAGCAAACAAAAAAGCAGGAAGAAGAGCAGCAAGAGAGAAATGCAAAAGGTTGGTCAAGAGGAAGGAAACATTCAGGCGAGTGGAATGTCAAAGTCAAAATCGGGAATGCTTCAAGGAAAGCATGGTCTCAAATGCTGAGAATTCTACTAAGATGAGAGAAAAAAGCTATCCATGAATATGGCATGAAGGTTGGCACTGGGGAAGCCAACAGGGGTGGTTTCCATGGAGAAGTGGGAATGTAAGCCAGAGAGTAATGGATCGGGACATGAGGGGGAAGTCAGCAAACAGAAACACTAAATCCTATATCAAGGTAACCTCCCTCCCTCACTTTCCCCATCCACAAACAGCCTCAAGAATCCTAACATCTCTCACCTCTACCCTTCCACTCAATACTTCTGCAGATCCAGCATTTAAAACAGGCCCTCTCCCTCCCCCAAGGTAAAGAAGGGCTCACCCTCTTCTTCTTTAATTCTGCCTCCCGGCTGGCATGATCATTGCAATGAACAAACTGGGGAGCGGAGGGCACTTTTGAAGTTGCTTTCTTTCCATTTTGCTTTATAGGCTGGTCGCCACACAAGAAAAAAAAATCAAACAGAAAATAAACCCAAAGAAATCACCCACAGAGGTTAAACCTTGTTCAGAGGACTGTAGCTCTGGAGGGAAAGAAAGGAGTAGGCCCAAAGGGCTTCATCCCTAGAGAACTGCCTGTTTGGCTGAGGAGAGACCCTCCCTTACTTACCCAGGCAAGGACTAACTAAAAACTCCAGGAAAGTGGTGGGGGCAGGGGCAGCTGGAAAGGTTTACCACGGCCAAGGGAAAAGCTTTCTAGACAAGTAGTTCCCAAAATGTGGTCCCTGGGCCAACCACAGCAGCACCAGGGGACTTGGTAGAAATACAAATTATTAAATGCCATGCCAGACCTACTAAATAAGAAGCTTTGGGGCAGCACCCAGCATTCTGTTTAAAGCCACCCTAAATGATTCTGGAGGGTGGTTTAAAGTTTGTAGTCAGGCATGGTCATGTCTGTAATCCCAGTTACTCAGATAGCCAAAGCAAGAAGATAACAAGTTTGAGGCCAACAACTTACAGAAACCCTCAGCAATTTAGCAAGATCCTGTCTCAAAATTTAAAAAAAAAAAAAATAGAAAGGGCTGGGATGGGGGCTAGGGTTGTGGCTCAGAGGTAGAGCGCTAGCCTACCATGCTTGAGGCACTGAGTTTGATCTCCAGCACCACATAAAAATAAAATAAAGATATTGTGTTTGCCTACAACTAAAAAATATTAAAAAAAGAAAGGGCTGGGATGTGGCTCAGTTATATAGTGTTCCTGGGTTTCAATCCCCAGTACCACAAAAAATACATTAAAAGGTTTTTTTTTAATGGAACTGGGGTAGCAGTATAGCTCAGTGGTAGAACTCTTGCCTATCATGGCACAAGGTCCTGGGTTCTATCCCCAATACCATAAAATATAAATAAAGAAAGCAGATGTGAGGGCTGGGGATAATAGCTTAGCAACACAGCTCTTTCCCAGCATGAACTGATGCCCTGAGTTTAATCCTCAGCACTTTTAAAAAATGGGGAGTGAGATGGAGTTGTAGCTCAGTGGTAGAGCATTTGCCTAGCACATGTGAGGCACTGGGTGAGACCCTCAGCACCACACAATAATAAATAAATAAAATAAAGGTATTCTGCCTATCTACAACTAAAACTATATTTTTAAAAATGGGAATGACAATAATCCCGACCAACGTAAATCAAGCATAAAAAGCAATGTATGGCTTATAGTGGGAACTTAATATATGCTGCTGAATCTCTGCTGCGGCCACCAAAAGCCAGGTCTACTAATTCCAATGTGGTGCTCTGTCCAGAGTCAGCCAATATCTACTGACCTGATCTCCAATAATGGGCATACCTTAAGTGTGAGCCACCCCATATGATTGTGGAGCCAACTTACCTTCTTACAGCCTTTGGAACCTTTACCTGGCTTTTTATTTTCTGCAAAAAAAGGAAAAAAGAAAAAAAAGGAAGGAATCATCATACATCTATCCAAATTTGGTCACACCTTAATCAAGGTCAGGCCACACTGAAACCTAAAAACCCTCATACACTGTGTCTATCTAGATTCAGCATAAGACAGAGATGCAGATAGTAACAACAGTATCAAAGAAATATAGGATATAATGTTTTGAGAGTTATTTCAATGTAAACTCAAACAAATTTTCAGAGAATTCTGTAGTTACCTAAATGTGTGCTTGTGACTACAAGCCTCCAGTGCCAACCTCCTTGTTTGGGGCACCTTAATAATTTCAGAGTCAGGGTGAGATCAGGGAGCAAGAAGCAAGGTAAGGTGATCTGAGGATGCCCAGCAAAATCCTGCAAAAATGGCCTCAGCATGTGAGGAGAGAACTATCCCTTCCTGCTGGCTCTGCTCTGGCCATCGCCTCTAAGAGACTTGACCTACTCACTAAACTTGCTGCCTCCCTTGGATCCAAGGAAGAGAGAGCTACCACTTCTCCAACCATGCCTTAGGAACTTAAGAGGCCTTTCCCCAACTTCAAAGAGAAGTCCCATCTGTCATCCCCTTCACAGCTGGCCTCCTGGGGAAAAATGTTTTCCCTTAATTCTCACCACTTTCAAGGGGGTCAAAGGAATTCCTAGAGAGGGAGGAGGTTCTGGAAGGTCAAGATATATACAAATGTATGAGCAGTTCGAGATTACCACACACAAAAAAAGGCTCCACTATCATATGGGGTGGTTCACAATGAAGCAGAGTTAATACAGGAAACAGAACTTAAATATTACTGCAAATCTGTAAGGAAGTTCAAGAAGATACTTCAAAGGAACTGTGTGAGAAAGATTCCTAAAACTTAAGGGATCATTTCTATAGTTACTGAAGAACTTCTGTTACTAGAGAAGTTTCTTGAATATGTAGGACTAAGTCTTGGGGGAAAAAAAGATTCCCAAAAGTTGATATTGAATAGAAATGTAATAGATGTAGTAGAAAACAGAATGGACATCAATAACCATCAAATTAATATTAACCTAGAATACTCTTCTGACAGACAATTAATATCTATAATATATAAAGAACACAAAAACTTTACAACAAAAAATCAAATAACCCAATTAATAAATGGGCAAATGAATTAAACAGACTTCTCAAAAGAAGAAATAGAGATGGCCAATAAATATATGAAAAAAACGTTCAAAATCATTAGCAATTAGGGAAATGAAAATCAAAACTACACTGAGAGGCTCAAGCTGTGGCTCAATGGTAGGGCATTTGTCTAGCACGTGTAAGGCACTGAGTTCGATCCTCTGTACTACATACATACATACATACATAAAGTTATTTTAAAAAAACCACACTGAGATTTTATGTCACACCTATCAGAATGGCAGTCATCAAGAATACAAACAATGATAAATGCTGGAAAGGATGTGGATAAAAAGGAACATTTTTATACTGTTAGTGGGATTATAAATTATTATAACCACTATGGAAATCAGTATGAGGTTCCTCCAAAGGCTAGGCATAAACCACCTATGACCCATCTATACCACTCCTCAGTATTTATCCTGAAGAATTAAATTCATCATACTATAGTGATACAAGCATACCCATGATTACAGTAGCACAACTCACAATAGCCAAACTATGGAACCAACCTAGGTTTCCATCAATGGATGAACAGATAAAGAAAACGTGGTATATATACACAATGGGATTTTATTCAGCAATAAATAAAAATGAAATCATTACATCTGCAGGAAAATAGATGGAACTAGAGATCATTATGTTAGGTGAAATAAATCAAACTCATAAAATTAAGGGTTGTATTTTCTCTCATATGTGGAAGCTAGAGAGGAAAAGGAAAAGAAAGATGTGGGTGGATCCCATGAAAATCAAAGGGACATCAATAGAGGAAAGGGTCCAAGGGGTGGGGAATGGGGAGGAAGGGAGAAGTGCTGGGGGTGGGTGATATTGGCCAAATTATGTAGTTATATTGTATATTGTGTGCATGCACAAATATGTAACAACAAATACCATCAGTATATATAACACACCAATAAGAAATGTGGGAGAAAAAATATTAAGCTAGAGGACTAAAGGAGAGAGCTTACTTTAAACAAAAAATCCAAAAGAAATGGAAATTATAATGAAAAAAAAAGGAGATAGAAGAGAAAAAGGTACAAATGGAGACACAATAGCTTTCTTAAATAATATATGAAAGTTCCTTAAATCAAAAACAGGCTTGAGGATCCAGACTGAAAAGGCACATGGAGGATCAAGATTAAAAAGCATCCTGAGGCTGGGGTTGTGGCTCAGTGGCAAAGCACTTGCCTAGTATTTGTGAGGCACTGGATTCGATCCTCAGCACCACATATAAATAATAATAAAGGTATATCAACAACTAAAAAATACTTTAAAAAAGCATCCAAGTGTGGTAGTACATGCCTGTAATCTAAGTTACTTAGGGGGCTGAGGCAGGAGGGTTGCAAGTTTGAAGGTAGCCTCAGCAAATTACTAAGACCCTGTCTCAAAATAATAAATAAAAATGGCTGGGAATATAGCTCAGCAGTAAAGGACCCCCTGGGCTCAATCTACAGCACAAAAAAAAATAAAATAAAATTTACAACAAGGGGGCTAGAAGTGTAGCTCAGTAGCAAAGAATGTGCTTAGCACATGTAAAGCCCTGGATTCAATCCCCAGCATGGCAAAAGAAAATTTTTAAAAAAAGACTAATCAAGGTGCAGCCAATTTGGAAAGCAGTATGGAGATTTCTTGGAAAGCTGGGAATGGAGCCACCATTTGACCCAGCTATTCCCCTTCTCGGTCTATTCCCTAAAGACCTAAAAAGAGCATGCTACAGGGACACTGCTACATCTATGTTCATAGCAGCACAATTCACAATAGCTAGATTGTGGAACCAACCTAGATGCCCTTCAATGGATGAATGGATAAAAAAAATGTGGCATTTATACACAATGGAGTATTACTCTGCATTAAAAAATGACAAAATCATAGAATTTACAGGGAAATGGATGGCATTAGAGCAGATTATGCTAAGTGAAGCTAGCCAATCCCTAAAAAACAAATGCCAAATGTCTTCTTTGATATAAGGAGAGTAACTAAGAACAGAGTAGGGTCGAAGAGCAGGAGAAGAAGATTAACATTAAACAGGGATGAGAGGTGGGGGGGAAAGGGAGAGAGAAGGGAAAATGCATGGAAATGGAAGGAGACCCTCAGAGTTATACAAAAGTACATACAAGAGGAAGTGAGGGGAAGGGGAAAAATAATATAAGGGGGACAAACGAATGTCAGTAGAGGGAGCAGAGAGAGAAGAGGGGAGGGGAGGGGAGGGGGGATAGTAGAGGATAGGAAAGGCAGCAGAATACAACAGACACTAGTATGGCAATATGTAAATCAATGGATGTATAACTGATGTGATTCTGCAATCTGTATATGGGGTAAAAATGGGAGCTCATAACCCACTTGAATCAAATTGTGAAATATGATATATCAAGAACTATGTAATGTTTTGAACAGCCAACAATAAAAAATTAAAAAAAAAAAAAGACTAATCAAAAACAAAACAACAAACAAACAAACAAACATATCCTAGGCATATTCAGATGAAATTTCTGAACTCCATGGCTAAAGAGAAAAATCATATAAGCTTCCAAACAGGAGCCTTTAACAAATAAGAGAAAAGCAAACAGCATTCCCAAATCTGCAACAGCTATTTCAAGTTGAGTATCCCTTATCCAAAATAAAAGGGATCAGAAGTGTTTTGGAGCTGGACATGGTGCCCGAAGCATGTAATCCTAGCTACTGGGAAGGCTGAGGAAGGCAGCTCTCAGGTTCTAGCCCAGTCTTAACAATTTAGTGAGACCCTGTTCTCAAAAAATAAAAAAGCTGGGGATATAGTTCAGTGGTAAATTGCCCCCAGGTTCAATCCTCAGTACTGAAAAAATAATAATAAATAAGAATTTTGGATTCTGGAGTATTTACATATACATATAAAATATCTTGGGGATGGGACCCAAATCTAAACATGCAATTTATTTATGTTTCACATATACCTTACAACATATCCTGAAAATAATTTTATACAATATTTTTAAATTAACATGTATGAAACAAAATTTCAGTGTGGAATTTTCCACTTGTTACATCATGTGAGCACTAAATACATTTCAGATTTTGGAATACTGGATTAGGGATGCTGAATTTGTACAAAGATCTGAGAAAATGGACTGTATATCAAATCAAATTCCTCTATCTGACCAATAGATGACTCTTATGTGAAAATAAAAGACATTTTCAGACATGCAAAGATTACCATCTGTTTCCCTTCTGGTAAAACTACTTGAAGAAAATAAAAATTAGGGGTTAGCTTAGAGAAGCAAAAACATGAAATCACACTAAAAGCTTCACTCTGTAAGATAGTATCAAAACAGCTATTATTGGGCTGGGGATGTGGCTCAAGCGGTAGCACGCTTGCCTGGCATGCGTGCGGCCCGGGTTCGATCCTCAGCACCACATACAAACAAAGATGTTGTGTCTGCCGAAAAACTAAAAATAAATAAATAAATAAATATTAAAAAAAAAAAAACAGCTATTATTGTTGGGCACAGTGGCACATGCCTATAATCCCAATGGCTGGGGAGGATGAGGCAGGAGGACCACAAGTTCAAAGCCAGCCTCAGCAATGGCAAGATGCCTAGGCAACTCAGTGAGACCCGGTCTCTAAATAAAATGCAAAATAGGGATGAGGATGTGGCTCAGTGGTTCAGTGCCTCTGAGTTCAATCCTCAATACCAAAAAAAAAAAAAAAAAGCTATTATTTAACTTTGTAACATGATAGAGAAATACAGTTTTAATTATGCTTTTGTCTTTTTTTCAATACTGGGAACTGAACACAGTGCCTTATGCATGCTAGATAAGCACTCTACCAGTGACCCACATCCCAGCCCTAATTATGTTTGTT